CGGTCGTCCGGTCGACACCATCCTCGGCTTGTCGAATTGGCTTTGGGAGCTTTCCCTGCCAGGGAGCAAGTGTGTAAGCTGCACACGTGGCTACTATTGCGCTGGTGGGCCTCGAGCGACGGCTACAAGACTGGCTTGTCCAGGAGGGTACACCACGTTCGGTCGGGGTTCTGCCGCCAGACTTGGTCAGCTAAATTTACGATTGCTCGAGAGTGATTGGGTTTGAGATGTACGACGTACGGCCGTTTGCCATCGCTTGCCTCAGCAGCTAAGGTCTCCAGTGCCGAGTGCGTGTGCGATCGAGGTTATTTTTTTGTCGCCACCTCCAGCAGTTGCACAGACTGCCCCAAAGGCTCCTACAAGCAGAATGCTGGCAATGGGGACGCATGCACGCCGTGTCCTGCTGGCAACACCACCTTCAGCACTGGAGCGGTAGCCCCATCATCATGCATACCTGAAGTGGATGACTCTGGTGATGGAGGATCGGGAAGCTCTGGGGTCACACAGCTGTCAAACTCGTCAGAAGTTCCAGCGGTATCATTCAACATGTCCTTCGGAAACCTCCCGGCTGATGCGGACCTCGAAAGCATCAGGAACCAGTTGGTTGCACCTGGCTTAGCAAGACTGCTACAAGTAACTGGCAAGTGTCGGACATGTGAGTGTTGCTTGCTTTAACATCTTGCGATTCCATTCTGAGGCAATGTTTCTTGCCACCTTTTCGGCCACCGCGAGAGTGGACCCCAGTGCGATCGAAATCGAAACTTGACGTCCTTGTTCAAGGTTGCTCCGAACGTTCAGGAACTGGATCTTGAAAGCAAGTTTGGTGATGGCTGGTTGCACGTGTTGCCGATCCCACAAAGGACCGATGTGGAGTGTTCCAAGCATCGGCCAGAAGTAGGACTCGTCAGCTGAGGACTTCGTGGGTCTCGGTCTGGCTGGAAGACGGCTGAGACGGCTTTTCGATGCATCGATGATTGTTATTACAATCAAGCAGCGGACTGCGGACGAGGCGAGTGCGATCGCCGCCGACATGGATGCAGCTTGGCTGTGCCATCAAGCGCCATTGCCTGAAGTCGCACGTTCCATGATGTACCGTCTAATGCTTTCGCGGGTCGGGCTCATGGCAAACACGCTCCGTCTGTCTGAGCGCGTTCAGAGCTTGCCGTCCAGGCTGTCACGGTCACGAACGAAGTCGCCGCTGCCGTTCAGCAGAATCCGACCCTCATCGCATTCAGTTCCAGCGGCTGGCCGCGTGCAAACTGACATGTGCTGCTGCAGGCTAGCATGCCAGTGAGACGGTTTTTCTCTTGATGACCCAGGGAGGCTGCTACACGTTGCTTCAAATTTTAGGTTTCGAGATGGGCTTGAGATCCAGTGCGCAGTCCTTGTCTATGGTTGTCTATGGGGGTCGTCATCGTATTCCCTAAAGCCGAAGACACCAGCTTTCTCGCGCTTCGTTTGCGATGGTCTACTTCAGACTCTTGCTTCGTTGGGTCCACATTTCCTGTCGCTTTAGGCCTACCCCCAGCTCCTTGCGTTGCGGTGGCGGTGTGGCATATCACAAAGGAACACTCGTCAATCTCAGTAGGTCGTGAATTCGCAACATCAGTCTTTATCTTTAGGAGGTCCCTGCCTCGTCGTTCAGCCAAGACCGGGGGCTTCGGTTAGATCCGAAGTGCGTGTTTACCGTTTGCCTTCGTTTTTCCCAGCGGGCCAGTTCAGGGCTGTCTGTGAGCTGGTTGGTCGGGTCTCGTGGGTGGAGTTTTCTGCCAGAAGACTCGTGTGTGGTCGAAGATAACCATGGACTCCAAGCAGACGCGGGGATGTAGACATCAGGGTCAGCATAAGGCAGCTCCAACAGGACGGGGTAGTTCATTCGGACATGCCTCTTTTTCCCGAGTCCGTATGAGGCGTTTCTGTGTTGAAGCGCTCTGCTCATAAGCTTCTGTTCAACGGTTAGGCTGCATGAGTAATTTCGTTGTCAGCAGCTCACATGCACGCACCAACGTGCCTACAACGAGCTTTCTGGCCGAATGTGGAGAGTTCCGATATTTCGGTATGGCAACTAAGGACTCTCAGTGGCGCAGGCATATCGTTGGAAGTCGAGTCGGCACCAGCGGTTTCTTCCACAGTCGTGAGCTGTTCGCCTCGGATGTCAGTTCCGCCAGGTGTTCTGGTAGCATATGTTGATGCGTGGTCCTGTTGTGCACGTTAAAAGCCGGTTGCCTAATTGCCAGGCGTGCCCGTTCTCAGTGCGGATGACTGCCAGTGCAGTCCTGGATACACCTACGACACTGCAGCTCAGGGCTGCGAGCCATGTGCTAGGGGCGAGTACAAGGACGCTGTCTTTCAGGCGTTCATGTGCCAGCCTGGGATCGAGCGCTTTGGTGTAATCTATGTCGCAGCAGCTTGTCCATGTTGTACGAGGGCATTCAGGGTCCGAGAGCCGAGCAGACTCCGCTCCCCAACTAGAAACAAAGCTGCTTCGCGCTTTTCGGGCGACGTATTCTTGGGGGAAGGAGATACATGCGTGCAGACAAGAAAACAGCCGTGTTTTTCTAATCAGCTACCGGTACTGCTAAGCCAAGGACAGTGTGCTGGGTCAAACATCTCGACCTCAAAACCTGCTCGTCTGTGCAGGGTCACGAAGCAAAACCGGACGGTCTCTTTGCACGGAGCTTCGGAGCCACAGGTCCAACCCGTCCCTGGCGCAGCCGTTCGAGCCACGTTGGTAGTGGGCAAGTCTTTAGGCGACCTTTCGCCTTCTTTCGCCGAAGAAGTAAGACTGGGAGTCCGGGCCACAATGTGCATAAGTTGTGGGCACACATGGTGCGACGGTCCACTGTCGACTCTGCCCTCTCTGTTCCTCTCCTATCGTCGGGTGTGGCACCCTTGTCGCGTCATTACGTCTTGTATGGAAAGCAAGCAACCGGTAACCAAAGGCTGGAGGGCCACGGAACCTCTGTGCAAGAGCCAGAGGTTTGTGCCATAGCCAGTCGGGGACAAAGATGGACAAAAGTAGCATCTAGCCGATGCACCGTGGCATCCCGGAAACATCCGACAGAGACGATGGGGCAACGACCCCAAGGTCCACGGGCAACGCAGAGCCCTGGAATCAAATCAAACCATAAGAAAAATCTATGAAGCTCGTTTGCGCCGGCATAAACCTGAACAACCACGCATGACCGCGCTCAGGTGCGGAGCATCAGGGCAAATCTCATTGAGTCTCCGTAGCATCAGCGTGCATGACCGGGAACATTCGAGAAGAAAGAAAGTGCGGTAAGAGGCCTTGTCTGAAAGAAAGGGTCATAAGAGACCTCGTCTAGGTTGCCACTTTCACTGTGGTTCCATGTCGTGTGGTGTGTAAGACGAATTCGGGGTTGTTGCGACAGAGATTGAAACAGGGGCATCGGCCTCCAGCAAATCACTTGGAAGCCCGTAGGATGCCATATCCATGGATGCCTGCACGCGATGCCCCTCTGAGAAATCCACCCTAGAAGTTGGTGCCACATCGCTGGAGCAGTGCAGATGCGAGGCCACGGGCAGCTGTTCTTTGTTGTTTAGTCGTTCAAGAAATCGTGCATAACTCCTTGATCACTTCTTGCCGCACCGCTGGCAGGCTGGGCTTTTTGCTGATGGCTCAGGGTTTTGCTCTTCCTGTAGGATTGGATTCTATTGTCCCGGCACTGGTGAAGCCGTCAGCTGTCCGCAGAACTCAACGACGGTGGCGCTGGGTGGACGGACTGCAACAGACTGCATTTGCCTGCCGGGCTATAGGAAGGGCGCAACAAGCTGTCAGGCGTGCGAACCTGGTACTTACAAGCCCACCGTCGGGAATGATGCAACTTGCGCGCTGGAGTGTCCGGCCAATTCGAACAGTGATTTTGCCTCCACTTCCCTGGCTGACTGCTTCTGCCTCCCTCGATACCACGCGATCCTGGATAACGCTTTTGACCAAGGGAGCTTGGCACGCTGTGCTGCCTGCAACTATCAGGGCCTTGAGTGCCGTGGAGGCTTCGAAAACGAGACGAACGGTACCGAGCGTCGTCATGCGCAGCCGGTTGCAGAGTTTCCTGCTTAGTCGTGTTTGCACACGCGTTGACTTTGGGAGTGAAAGGCTCGTAAGTGGAAAACCTGTCGGACCGAGGCCTGGCTTCTACCAAGCGGGCTTATCCACCGCGAGGGAGTGTGACGTTCTGTTGCCGGATGGTAGCAGTGCGTGCAAGGGAGGAGCCAATTGTGTTGCTCAGCGGATGGACCTTCCCGTTCCGGAATCATGCAACGGGATGTTGGGAGCCTCGGGCCTGCAATTCGGGGGTGGATCAACTCGTATCCCCAGCATGCACTCGACCTCCTCTCTGCTTGATGGTGGAGTCATTGCACAGGCAAGTCGTAAGATGTTTGTGCACGGGGTCATTCCACCTGTTCGTTCAGAGTTGGCTCAGGAAACGAATGTGCCGAAGGCGCGCCTGCTGCGTAAGCTGGATCGAGACGACACGTGGCTGACAGCTCGCTGAACTGCGTTGCAGGATCTACTGGCGTGTTGTGCGGCGAATGCCCCGACCATTGGGCCAGAGATGATTATCCTGAACTTTGCCGCAAGTGTCCGCCCGATTCTGCAGGAGACCTGTCTGTGTCTCGGCCCATTATGGTCCAACTGTGAGTAATATGGTACTTCTTCTCTTGTGTGCAATGGTCGGGGGCATCAGGCGGATTGGGACGAACTTGTCTAGATGAACGGCCATCGGGGGTGGGGGTGTGGGAAGCGGCTGAGCGTGTGAGTCTGAAAGGTGAATTGCCTTCTTTGCCGGTCGTGCATGTCTTTTTTGTAGGCATCCTTTTGAACCAAGTTTGCCGTGCTGTCCGACATCGGCCAGAAAGTGTTCTTGAACTTTGTTGTCGCGGCCATGGCCGCCACAGCTGCAGTGAAGGGAAGCGCGAAGCTCCACACCAGCATGATTCGTTTCCAGGCAGCACTGATCTCTCATAATCTTGAGGGGCGGAGCAGCGGCAACCAGTATCTTTCTGAATAGGGATGTCTGTTTCTGGCCGAACACAGAGTATCAGACTGAAGTTCGGGACAAGAGTAAACCCTTGTTTGAGGTCTTGGAACTCAGTGGATGGCCGCTTGCATCTTGGCTGTGCTGGCATAACCTGCCCGAATGACAGACCCATGTCTGGGCTTCACGACCCAGGCTCTGTTCTCACCCAATTCAACCTGGAGCGACTGCCTGGCTTCGAGTGGTCGCAACAAGATGCAGAAATGGCACTGCTTGCAGCTTGTGCCGAGTCCAATGCGACTTCCTGTGAACCCGGTTCCCAGGCAGGCAGTGGTTGTATTGATTGAACATGGAGGGCCTGTTTCATTTCTCACTTTTTTCTGGAAGCATCGTACTGATGATACTGCTGATGATGCTGCTGCTGTTGATGATTGTGATGACAACTGAGATGGCGATGACGATGGCCATGCCTTGTTATGCTAAAGGTGGTGGTGGTGGTGGTGCTGACGGCGGAGATGGTGGTGTTGTTGGTGGTGTTGTTGTTGGTGGTGATGATGATGGTGATGATCATGATGTCGCTGGTTGCTTTGTAGTTGATGATGGTGATTCCTATGAAGAGTTCGGGTGTGATGATGATGATGATGATGGTCGTGATGACGGTATTCAGTGTTATCAGCATGCTTACTCTTATCATAAGACTCTTATCATTCAATGTCATCAGCATCATTATTCTTAGTAGAAATAGCTGTAACAACATGCATAAGCATTATCGGCATGTCACGTCGGAGATCATCATGAAGGCTACCAGCATGATGGTTGCGCTTTCTTGTTGTTCAAGCTTGCTGCTACTTGTTGGTTGTATTGTTATGCTTACTGCCAGTTTTACTGCACTATAGCTGGCGGTGCTACCCTTTTCCTCATGCGCATGGCTGTCGCTCTGGGCTTTCCCCCTGTGCAGAAGCACTGGCGGTCACACGGATAGTTCCTCTCGTGGTTTGCGTGGCTCGTGTTCCCGTGCGAACCGTGTCCACAAGCTGCCCCCACAAAGGCGAAGACAATCATGTAGTTCACCCTGGCACTACGTGCAGGACAAAAACACATCCACAGAGCTCGCACCCAAGAATTTGCGGCATGCTTAAGAATCAAGAAATCGCAGTAGGTTTTAACGATATCTTCTCATTCTCGCTCAAGCTGGGTCTCCAAGCCTGGTCCTCGTGCCAGTGTTCTTTCCGATGCGATGACGACCTGGAGGTACAAGCATCACGAGGCCAACTCCCTTTGACAGCTGGCGCATGCTGGCGACTGCACTTTCTACAGCACGGAACCCACCACCTACAAAAATCCAAAGCAACTCCAGCCATGGAGATATCTCCCCAACTACCTGCTGTAGCACCCATGATGCCACCAGTGTCACGGTAGTCATCATTTCATCGTTGCGCTGTGTGCGCAGCTGGGGCAGGCAGCCACTTTTCCTTGGCCGGAAGAGGTCTCTTCGGCCATGTCCGACCTTTTCGCAATCATGAGCCTCGTGTCCGGACCCGAGTGGCCATCTTGATTTGTGCACTGGGACTGCCCGAGAAAGCACGTAGCCGATCTCGGGTAAAAGGGAGAGAAGGAGACGGTGGACTAGAATGAGAACGAGGAGGGAACTGAGAAAGATACGTCAGAGAGAGAGAGAGAGAGAGAGAGAGAGAGGCTGCAGCCTGCAGGTGCGCGTTCGCGTGCGAGGGTTCGGGCGTCCGCTCGTTCCCTCTGGCCTGGTAGAGAGAGAGAGAGAGAGGCTGCAAGCGCCTCCTTCGACACCCCAAAGCCTCATCCCACCAAAGCAGTAGGGGTGATTGGGCCTAGGCCCGGGTCTGCGCCGCAGACCTAACCTCAGTGGAAGCAAGGAAGGAAGGCTGCATTCATGCCCGCCAAAGCGGAGGCTGATCACAGCTACACGGAAGTCGCAGGATAGACCTAGTGATGTGTAGCTTGATGCTGGAAGCAAGTGTGGCAGCCGCAGAGTGTGGACTTAGCGCAAGACTTGCAGGGGCTGCAGCACAGTGAAATGTCGTAGCTGTGTGAAGCTTTGCTTGTCTCAGTCTTGTCTCGCGCTGGCCCCGCAGTGCTGCAGAGGTTTCAGGGCGGGGATGCGAGGTGAGGCATGTAGGTGCAGGCAGTGTGGCGTTCGATCTAGTTTTGGTGTCGAGCCCTTCAAAGGCGGTTGGGTGCAAGCGGGACCGGCTTGCCTATGGGCCCCAAGCTCCCCGAACGGTGACTTCAGCGCTGCGAGAGCAAGTTCGATGAGTGACCCGAGCGCAGGAGAAGGCGGCCGTGAAGAGGTTTCGAAAAGCCGAAAGCCCAAGAAGCATCGACGACACTGAGCACTGAATGATAAGGCTGAACGTTTCATGCGTGGTGCTCAAGCATGGGTTGGGCCCGGGTTTTGGGCTTGGTCGTTCAGGGCTCTTCATCAAACTGGTGGGGGCTGGGGTGTCCTTCTCACTGCAGTGGGTCCCTCCTCGTCCTTTCCCTCGCCTTCGGCTTTGGGGCTTCCTTTGGGTTTCTCTGCGCCGTCGTTTTCTGTCGATCGGCCCTGCTGGTTCCGACTGCCCAGGCCGCCTTCACTCCTGACCCGTCACCCTCGGCTTCCTCTGTCCCTCGTCCTGCTTCTCTTCGCCTGCGAGGCTACTTGCATGAGCAGGCGGCCACTCGCTGAGACCGTGCGATCTTTGGTGGAAGCCCTCCGAGGTGCTCTTGCCGAGCTTGAGGCGGAGCCTAGCTCCGAGTGGGAGGTTGTTGATAGCCCTAGGGGGTCTAGGGAACTTGGTGGTTCTAGGGGTGGTAGCGCGCAGACGGGTGCTGGACTTGGCACTCCTTCCTTGCCTGCCTTTGCTTACCGCGGCCACGTCGCTGCCTCTTCCCCTGCCGTTGCTCCTACCGGCCCTCGTTTGGGTGATCCTTTGCTTGGTGAGGCCCTCTTCCTTGTCAACAGCCTTCGGCCGGCCGACCGGCTTCTGCGAGCAACCCGTGCTTGGCAAGCAGGGCTCCAAGCGGGAGCGGTTCTTAGGAACGAGCGGACTGTGGTGGACTCGACGCCTGTGCTGGCTACTCGCAGCCGGGTGTACCTGGTACTTCGCTGCCGGGGAGACACTCGGGTTCGGTATTTCACTTCCTTTGGGCGCTTCAAAACTTATAGCGACACGGTTTCCCCACCGAAGGCTAGTGCAGGGTATACGCCCAAGCGGCAGGTGTGGTCTTTCCGGACGCTTCGCAATGGAGTTGATCACCGATTTCTTGCAAGCTCCTGCAGATGCTGGGGCTTTGGTCCTCGAGCTGCCTACCATCCCGGCCCGGCCTTGTGTCTTCGTGCCCTTGCTGACCCGAGAGGGAGGTGTTTTGGCGGCGGTTCCCGTTGGAGCCTTGGATGCTGCCCTCAGGTCGAGGTGGAGGCCCCGAGCTCTTAGTGGGCCCTTCTGCTCAGGTCACGGTGCCACTTGCCGAGGAAGAAGAGGATGGGAGCCTAGCTCCAAACGGGGAAGCGGCTCCCGTCATGGTGGTGGACTTTGCCGACGAAGTCTCCGCCCATGTCTCGAGGTACGACCCTGTGACGTCGCCTGTCGAAGTTCAGCCTTTTGTCGAAGGCCTCCCCCACCAGCTCCTTGTGCATGCCGAGGCCCTCCTTCGGGCCCGGGAGTGGGTTGTGTTGTGACGTGGGGACCGCATGGCTTTTTATTCTGCAGCAGAAGGTCCCGAGGCAGAGGTGCCAGGTACAGGTCAGGTCCCGAAGCGGAGGGCTGCTCCCAAGGCAAAGCGCCCCACCACGGCTCAGCTTGCAGAGAGCCTCGACTCCGTGATGTCCCTGCTCCCGGCTTTGGCCCAGCAGGTCCAAGACATAGCCGCCAGGCCGAAAGGCCATGGAGGAGCGACCGCCAACTACGGCTCCGAGCCCCGCAAATGCCGGCCCCGGCCATCGCCAGCCTTTCCCCGTTGTGCCTCCCGTGCTTCGCAGGTCGAGGCTCTGGGCTCTCCCGGAGGTATTTTGGGAGGCCCGCCAAAGACTCGAGCTCCTTACCTGCAGCCTCCTCCCCCGCTGCCTGTGAGCCCTCCTCCTCCCGAAGAGGTGACGGTAGACGAAGCAACAGGAGAGGTCTTGCTCCGCGCTGGCACCAGCCCGGTGGCAGAAGCAAGGCTGAGGCAGAGCCAGGCCCTAGGAACATTGGTGGCCCACCTGGTCTCTCAGTCCGAGTCCGGAGAGCCTTCCTTGGCCGCCCTGGGGTCCACCGCTATTGGGTCTCGCGGGTCCAGCAAACGAGAGAAGCTGCAAGAGCAGCTGGCCGCCAGGACCGGGAACTTCATGCTTCAGGTCAGTTCGCAGATTGGCTCCGGCCGAGCCTGCTCCCGCTTCCCGAGCCGAGCTTGCGGGGAGGAGGCTCCTCTTCACCACCTATGCCGAACGCTGCTGGCACTCTCGCTCATAGCATAATCATAGCGGTGGAGCAGGCGGCCCAGGACAACGGCTCTTGCGACATAGGGTACCTTCTTTGTCTTCAAGAGGACCCGCCGCATCAGTTATTCCAGAGCCGGCCTCAGAGTCAGAACCCTCGCTTGAGGGCTTTTGGGGGCCTCACTCCTCAGACTTGGGCCACCACGACGCTGAGCTACATTCGGGAAATCGATCTGATACAGACCGGGCGGTCAGAAGCAGTGGGCAGCACAAGGCCAAAGCCCACCGCCACCGATCTGCGCCTCGGCCTCCTCGCCGGCCGCGCTTCCGGAAGAATCCCAAGGCATCTGCTACGTGACGTGTGGGTCGCCGGCCCGGAGAAAGGTTTTGCTCCCTCCCTCGGCCCGCCTTTGGGGTATAGTTCCTGGTAGGTCCCGCCGTTTGTGGTTTAGCGGTTCCTGCGCCTATAAGCCACGGCCTCTTCCCGGCGAAGCCAATGAGCTTGTCCCGGGCTGCACCGCTGGGCCTGTATGGCTAGGCGGCCCCTTTCCTGAGAGGCCTGGTCCATGCCAGAATCTGTCCGGGCATTGTGTTGGGAACCCGGCAGAGCCTAGGGTGCTGCCTCTGTCCCGACAGGTTGCTGCTGAGCTGGTTTTGTGCGCGGCCCTGGCTCCACTAGCGACCTCCGATCTGGCTGCCCCCTGGGATCCCTTTGTCTATGCCACCGACAGCAGCGACAGCCGGGCGGCCATTGTAAAGGCTGAGGTTCCCCTTTCAATGTCGAAGCTTCTTTGCAGCTCGGATAAGAAGGGGGCCTCGACTCGTCTTTTGTCCCGGGCACAAGCCTGCTTGAAGAAGGCCGACCTCTATTTTGAAGAGGACCCTGAGAACGATGTGTGGCAAGGAGGTGCCTCTGACGACTGGGCTCCTGGGCACCTCCTCCATTCCTCCCTGCCTTCGGCCGGTGGGGTTCCGTTTTCATTTTCTCCAGTTCGGAAGTATGTCAGGCTACGTTCCTGACCGCCTGGCCTCCCGTGGCTGGGCCGTCGGCCCCCTCTTGGATCCGGCCCTTTCTCCTCACTACGACCTCTCTAAGGAGAAATTTTTCTTGTGGCTCCTTCACCTGCTGGAGGCTGGGAAGCTCGACGCCCTTCTGCTTTCGCTTCCCGGCTCAACTTTCTCAGCGGCAGCGCGGCCGCTCCTTCGCACTTTTCGCGAGCCTTTCGGTGATTGCTCCTCCCCAAAGGTCGCCAAAGAGAACTTTGTTTTGCACCGCGCCCTCACTTTGTTCATGGTGTCCCTGCGCCTAGGGATCCCGTGTATGGTCACCCAGCCGGGCGCGAGCATCGCCCCTCAACTTCCAGCCTGGGCAGCTATGGCCCGAAAGCGAGGTGTGAGTCAGTGCCGGCTCCCTGCTGCCTGGGGTCGGTCTCTTGTCCTGCTTGCCTGTGGGCTCCCGGCACGGCTTCTTTTGCGGTCTCCTCCTGGACTCGACTGTGCCCAGGTTGCCTCCGGCACATCCAGTGCGCTCCCCTGGGCCGAAGCTATTGCCGCGGTTTTCTTCAGGGGCCTTCGCCAGGGGCCCGTGAAAGGTCGGATGTAGACGCTTTGGGCCTCGAGAGTGTGTTGGTGAACGATGTCGCTCAAGGGCTGGATTGGACTTTGGTATCGGCCTGGAACTGGCGCAGAGAGAGGCATATCAATGTGCATGAAACGGGTGCCTTTAAGCACTTGTGCAAGGTAAAGGCCCGAGGCCTCATCCCCTGCCGGTTCTCCTCCTTGACTGACTCAAATGTGTCAAGGTGTGCCATCAGCAAAGGCAGGTCTCCCTCTGCAGCCCTTACGGTTGAGCTGAGGCAGATTTCCGCTTTGAGTGTGGCCTATGGCTTGTACGGTGCTCTGCCCTTTGCTCCCACTCGCTTGATGCCAGCTGATGCCCCTTCCCGGGATTCGCAAATCCCTCCGCCCGTACCAGGTGTGCCGCTATCCGTCGGGTGTCCTTTGGAATCTTTGGCTGCCCTCCCTCGTCTTCGCTGATGGGCTGCGAATTGGGCCCGTCTCGTCCTCCGGTCTGCTCCTTGGACTTTCCCTCAGCCAGGGCACCGCTTTGCAAATGTGCCAGCTCTGCTCTATCGGCCTCCTCTTCTCGACTTTGACTCCTCCTGTGGCTTTCCGGGTGAGGGCCCCTTCCCACCAGTTCCTTTCAGGGTTCTTCTGTGGTTGGGGGTTTTCGGGTTGCCTTTTGGGGCTGTGCCTTGCCGCCATGGACAACTGGAGCCGCGGAACACAGGGGACTTGAGCAGGCAGGAAGGCCGAAAGGGAAAGCCTCTCCCTGAAGGCCGCCCCGTCGAGAGGGCCACGCAGAACGCAAGGGACTCCCTTTGGAACTCCTTTATGTGCTGGTGCAGGGCCCAGGCAATCCCAGCCGAGACCTTCGCTCTGGAAGGGCACCTGGACATCGACGTCATAAACGCTCTCCTGGCGAGGTATGGCCGGGCCCTCTATGAAGCTGGGCGACCTTACAACCACTACTCTGAGACAGTGAATGCCCTGGCGAGCCGGTTGCCGAAGATCAGGAGACTCCTGCAGCCTGCCTGGGATGTTGCTTTTCAGTGGCAGAGGATGGAACCTCATGTGCATCACCAAGCGATGCCCTGGCAGATCCTCTTGGCTTTGGTGACAGCTTCGCTATTTTGGGGCTGGCTGGATGTCGCGGGGATGCTAGCTTTGGCCTGGGGAGGGCTGGCTCGCATAGGCGAGCTTTTCGCTGCCACCAGGGCCGATTTGGTTTTGCCAGCGGATGTACAAGGCACGGTCGACTACATCCTGCTGGCGGTGAAGGAACCAAAGACCAGAAACACAGCAGCCCGCCACCAAGCTTTAAGGCTGGACCAACCTCAGTTGATGAGGGTTGTCGACTTGGCTTTTCGCCAAAAGCATAGAGGACAGCAGCTGTGGCCCTTTGCCCCAGGCACCTTTCGGCAAAGGTTTGCAAAGCTTACGGAGGTTTTAGAGCTCGGCTGCTTCAAAGATGAGGGGCTCAGGCCCCTGGATTTGGGATCTCTGCGGGCAGGGGGCCACATGGCTCCTTCATGCCACTGAAAACGGAGAGCTGGTGCGTAGGCGAGGACGCTGGCTGAATGTTAAAGTGATGGAGATCTATATCCAGGAGGTCTCGTCTGTTCTCTTCCTGTCAAAGCTGCAAGACCGCGTGGCGCAGCGGGTCATTGAAGTTATGCAGCTTTTTCCGGTGATGTTGAACCAGGCGGAGCTCTACAGACAATTCGGCTACCCGCCGACCTCATGGTTCTCTTTATCCGCCGTTGGTCGGGCTTGAGCTTGCATGATGTGGGTTCAATGGGCGGAGGCGGAAAAACAGTGCTACGCGCACCTGTAACCTTTGTTGAGGAGCAGCAAAAGGTGCGATGCCTTAGCATGTTTGTGAAGCCTTGAATGATAAGGCTGAATGTTTCATGCGTGGTGCTCAAGCATCCCGCCACGCCCTCCCGCCAACCACGGCGGAAAGACAGTGCTACGCGCACCTGTAACATTTGTTGAGGAGCAGCAAAAGGTGCGATGCCTTAGCATGTTTGTGAAGCCTTAATGACCACTAATGCCCGGGACAAGGCGAGGCAGGTCCGGAGGCAGTTTGTGGGCTTGGGTTTTGTTCCGACAGGTGGGGTGTCAGGTTCGATTTCCGCTGGGGGCACACACGAAACTATTTCACGCTTTAACAGAGATCAGCCATACCAATTGGCTGTGCGCGGACGCACGGAGGGAGGGACCTACAACAGCAAAGGTGATGCGTGTTGGTACCCTGCAGGTTTCTCGGTGCGCTCCACTCCGAAACGGGGTGCTCACTCGCACGTAAGGGTGGCCCCTCCTCTGCACCTTCACATTTTGGCGCAGCTACTCCTACAGACGTAGCTCTCAAAGGGGGCCGAGTGTCACCCTCTAAAACGTCAGGCTAATGCAACCTTTTCACCGCCAACTCCGGAGCCACTGCTGGTTTGTTTCCTCGCCGGGTGTTTCGCAGATCCGAGCTATCCCGACGGGAGAGTACGACTCGAGGTCCATGTTGAGTCGGCCAGACACGATTCATTGGGCCACGGACGGCGAGGCAATGCTCTAGGCTTGCAGCCGGCAAGTCCATGCAGAGAGAGGCATGCTTCTTTAGCAATCGGTCACCCCGTAAGGCTTTCGAAAGAAAGAGAATCAGGGCAATTCAGATAGTGTCCTAGACCTCCAGAAAGAAGGGGAGCAAGACAAAAAGAGAGTCCTCGATTTCGGATTTGCAAGGGCAAGCGACTTGAGTCATAGTTCATTGGCAATATCCATTCGCTATCAGTCACTAGATCCGCCCCCAACACATGAGTCCACCAGCGCAGGGGCCGGTGACCCTGCCCCGAGCCCAAAAAGAGAGAATGCGGGCAAGAGCTCTAAGCCGAAGATGCAAGACGACCCACTGTCGACCTTGTTCTGGTTTCTAAGTACTAGGAATTGCGTCGGAGGTGCCAAGCCTTGCCACTAAGCCCCGCAGCTCCACACAGTTTTCAAGCTGTGCTTGCCCAGAGTAACTTGTGACGGTGCCAGCGGTCCAATGCTTCAACAGCTTAAATGGAACATTCTCTGAGGCCGAGGTTGGCCACGGTGCAGTTTGCGTCGAAGTGTCGTGCTGGGGAACTGCTACCGGGCAGTCGGGCAGCGCCGCTTGGAGACTAGAGCATGCCAGGGCTGAAGACTCGACGGACCAGTGACGTAATCAAGCTCACCATTTCTTTGTAATTACTACTTTTCAGGACGATGGCTGCCCCGGGTATTTACTTTGTCACCAGTCCCATCCTTGCAATCATTGGCCTTTTTCTCTTTGCCGCGTTCATGGTCTATCTGGTCGTGCCTGTTGCGGCCTGGGCCGGACTTTACTTCAACGACTTCCAGCGCGACAAGAAGAAGCGGGACAAATTGAAGATACAAGCCCGGGAAACCTTTGACGCATTGCCTGAAGAGAATCGGCATGGTCTCGTGTGGACGGACCTGCAGGAGCGGCCGCAGTGTTCGCAAGGGACATGGGATGCATTCTTCCAGGTCTGTCAGCGCGTCGGAGCATTTTGCTATCGCAGTCTGTCCGTATTGACGTTGTGACAGTGACAGTTCCGATTCGGAACGATTCGGAACGATTCGGAACGGTTTGGAACGGTTCGGGACGGTTCGGGAACGGTTCGGGGGACGGTTCGGCGGAGGGTTCGGAACGGTTCGGGACAGTTCGAAACGGTTCGGGAGCGGTTCGGAACTGTCGGGGACCTTTCCCAACAGCTGAACTCCCAACCCTGTGAATGCTTAGATTCTCATTACACCCTCTTGCTGGTTCTGAGGTGCTAACCTCCTTACAGTCAAGTTAAGCATTCCCAGAGCTTCCCAAAAATATACTGCGCAACTTCGGTGAAGTTCCCGCTTAAGTGAGTAGCAGGGTCATTCCCTCGAATGCAGGGCGCACCGATTCAACACGGACTTGCGGTGTGTTATGCTTGAGGATGTTCTGTTGCTCAAATTCGGCTCCTTCAGGACTCCGGCATTCTTGATGAGGTGGAGCTGAACATCTTTGAGCACGGGATTGATCATATGGAAAGCTTCATCTCAGGCTCCCTGGTGGCCTGGAGGACATCCGAAGCAGCCCTCTTGTCTGTCTGCTTTGTTGACAGGCACTCACGATTGGGGCTCATGCAGCTTCGAAGCCAAACGGCCGATACTCGCGAAGCTTTGTGTCGCTCTTACTAGGTCCGTCTGGACTTACCGCCTTGTACAAAGCAGATGATCAAATGTTACGTGGTTTTATACTCGTGGTTGCAAGGTGTCCACAAAGCATCCCTGGATCCGCGTCAAGCCCCTCGCCTACGTTCGTTTTTGGGCTCTACCGCTTGATGGAGAGCGGCATGTGCATGTATCCTGGCCTGCAACATACGACTAACATGCAAGGAGCAACTTCGCGCCGAAGTTCGTCTGACAATGGAGGAGTTCAAAAAGATGCCTGATTTCAGTACCAAGGGGCATGGCGAGCGCGGCATTCGGGCTGCGAATATTGTTGCAGTCTTGTCTGTGCCATTCACATCCCGACATGCGCATCTTCTACTCAGGCTTGCTGCAGATTCTGTTTGACAAGCCGCTCGGCCCTGGTGTAGCGAAACCGAAGGGCCAAAGGTTGCTCCACACCACATCACTTTAGCCATCAGGACTGCCTGAGTCTCGACACTGGCTCTTTCGGTTTCCCAGCAGTAACCCTGTCAGCTAGGCGGGGGGCAGAAATTCAATTCAGTTTCGCTTCCCTCGCTGACCATGAGGTCTTGGCGTGGAAAAAACTCGTCCATTTTCTCAGATCTTGGCGAGCACCTGGTCTGCAACTTCAGCAGGCCTGGGAAAGATATTTTGTTCTTCTGTCCGCCAGAGGCCACCAGCAGCACTTCACGATTTTGACCCTGGGCCTGCAAAGCCGGATGTGTGTTGACGTCGCTTCGGCTGTGCTTGGAGTGGCAATCCGAGACGTGGTGCGATGTGTTTCAGGTGCGCCGAGCCTTGGCATGGAAACTGCGACACCGAGTGGAGCACAGAGCGGCTGACTGGGGATTGGATGTGGGCACTGTCGCGCTGGCTGTCACTGAGCTCATTCTTACGGATGTTTGCGCTTTGGTGCATGTGCACTGCTTGTATTCTCTTGCGCGTGGTCTGCGTGAAAGTTTAGCGAATATGGCAGAAAGGGCAACGCCATCTCATCTTATCTTCTCTGCCAAAACCCGAATCACAAATACTTACTTGTGCGCTGCTTTTGCAAACCTGGTTCTCTCTCTCTCTCTCTGTTTTCGCCGAGCTCGGCTGGCAAATCATTCTCTACCGGTGTCAATCCATTGCTCCATCGCTTTTTCGCAATCCTGCTTGCATCTCGCAACTAACATGTCTTTCTCAGCAGCTGTCTGACAATTGTCTTACGAGCGTATCCATGCCGGCAACCTAGCCTGTCCTCATTTTGTCACTCGCGAAGCATTTTCCAAACGATATGTGGCACAGTTTCAGTGCACTCGTGGGTGGAGAAGCGCACAGAGAAGTTGGACGGCAGACTGCCAAGAGCATGCAGTCCGGTGCTTTCCAAAGCACCCGATGTTTGCAAAGAGGGTGGTACACAAGCATCGCATAACTTCGATAAAATCACTGCGCCGGTCAGGGAAGGTCACGCAAGGACCGCAAGAGCAATTTGTCGCCAACAAGTGGGTCAAGCGGAGCTGCGCCCATAATGCATTGTCGAGCGGCGAATCCCAAACTGCTCGTGGGAGCGGCGACAAATCGTCACGATTCATGTGGCGCTTTTTTCTCCCTGGTGTCCTGCTTGTGTCCGCCGACTACCAAAATTGCCCCAAGCCAGCCCTGCCGCTGTTGAGCAGGCGCCGAAGCTACTTCGTTCCCCCCTTACGGCATGTCACCTTTCATCAGCTTGCTTTCATCTCATCTAGCCGCCTTCCAAGTGCGGGTTTTTTGGATGATATACGCTTGTTGCGATGAGGATGCGATGCCGTTGCTGTTTTATCCAGGCGGAGACATTGCTTCAGTAAAACTGATCGGGCATGCTCTTGAGCGTCGTTCGAGTTGGCCACAGAAGAACTTGCCTGTGGTGCCCGGCTGGCCGAGGTCTGCGACAGTTTCAGCACGGCACAGGAGCTGTATGTTTCAAGCGCAGCTTGGCTCTCCACTGGACTGCATGAGTACCGCGTAGTTCCATGCGGCAAGGTTTCCATGAAGATTCATGAAGAAAGCGCGGCTAAGGCAGACGAGTCGGGTTTCGACGATCTGATTTCCAAGACGTGCGAACGACTGAGTCTAGAAAGGCAGGGGGGGGTGTCGGGTTCCAAGGTGGCCAGATTTCAACTTGAGACCAGTCGGAAATTTGGCAGAGGGCTCTCAGTGTTGTTTCTCCAGCTCGAACGGCTTCTACAGTTGCTTTCGCAAACACGCTGGCAGACCTATGGGGTCGCAGTAGCTTTCCGATCCCTTCGAATCATCGCAGTTCGAAGGCAGCGACGAAGTGAAAAAGATACCGAAATTCGAGCGCCCGAGCCAACCGCAAGTGGGCTCGATCCGGAGACTTGTCATCGAATTGTGGATCTCCAAGAGTAAAGGCTTTTGCGCAGCATTTCACGTTCGCAAGTATACAAACTTACTCACAGGCATTGACGGAACATGCTCTGAGACGTTGCTGAGACTGCGGAGGGAATCTCATGCTTTGTCGAGGACACCTTGGACTTCGGTTTGTTCACATCGATGCCGAGACCTTCCCAGCTGCTTCAGCAGTGTGTGCCAGTAATTTGGGTGATGCTTTTGGCAATGTCGCTTGGATGCATAAAGTTGGATGTTGCACGCGATTTCCAGGCTCGTGTTTGCCCAGTGCCACCAAGGTGGCCGGAGCTGTTGTCTCAATTTCTGAAGATGGTGTGGTGTGCGCCTTTCTCCGAGGATAACAACCGAGGCCTTACAGAAGTGAAGCAGCGCTTGCTTCCACATCCAGATGTTGTATGCTGGAGCTTCGATCATTTTGAACTGGCTCTCATCGCTTCAGTTGGACTGGTCGTGTGGTGCATTGGTGTTCCTCTCCTCTTGTTCCTTCGTATATACAAGCTGAAAGACCGCCAGAATCCTGAGAATGGTCGGAGGTACGGCTTCTTTATCGAAGGCTACGAACCTGGTTTTTGGTACTGGGATATCATAGTCAAGCGCTTCGATATTGCCCTGATGAATTTGGTGACGTTCACATCATTGGCAGATGATGAAAAGGCCAAGCTATTGCTTTTTCCATTTATCTCTGGCGCGATGTTGGCAATTGCGGCTTGGTGCCGGCCATTTACGAACGATCAGGCTGAGATTCTGGACTTCATGGAGATGTGCCTTTTGAGCTTCCGCTTTGTTCTTTTTAGTATGATTGCAGTCTTGCTGATCTTCAACCCCTCGGCCGCGGTCACCTACGGTGTTGCAGGAACTCTCGTTCTAGCGTTGGGCTGCATCTGCATGTACTTTGCGCTGCACGTTGCGGTTCAGATGCTGCGCACGTCTGCAGAAGAAATGGGGGAGGAATTGGAAGAGGACGATGATTCCAACGACCATGCCCGTGATGCGAAGACCACCCAGAATCCCAAGGACAAGGGCAAGAGCAAGAAGCCAAATCCGATCGTGGCGCTTGTAGGCCCGTGAGATCTGCAACTTGTAGATTTGTAGAAGCTTGGCATCTTCTCTCATCAGCCCCTGAGGTGAAGTCAAAAAGACACTAATTGGATGCACTCTGCCACTCTTCGTGCAGGGTGAGGACGAGAAGCTTTTCGTAGAGTCGCGTGGCAAAGACTATGGCCTCTGATAAGCACATGTATTCATACGGGTTCCGCCAGAAGTTTCGGTGACAACTGCAGGAAGGGGCGACCGGGCCAGCAGGTCTTTGGGGGAGTGCGGGGTCTGGATGGCGGGGCACGCGACCGGGCCCAATAAATCATTGGGCCAATCATGGTGTACACCTGCATAGGCACGCGTGTGTCTGCGTGTTTCTCTGTGTGTGTGCTTATGCATACTTGTCATGCGTAGGTAGGTATTAGCATGCATGAATGTATGCATGCACGATGTGTGCGTGTGTAGGTAGGTAGGT